CTCAGTATTGGAATAGCCTCATTTTACCGACGGGGAAGCGAAGCACCGAAAGACTACGGGTATGTCTACATCTGAGGTGTGTTTCCCAGTTCCCATAGACATAGCCATGCTAGCTCTGCTTGCGCTAGTGCCTAAAAATAGCCACATCCCCGCGGCAGCACAGGTGGTGGGTTGGGTTAGCCACCCGAGTACGTACCTGTGGGCACAGCTAGCACGGGTGTGTCTGTGCAAGCTGGGAATCACACAGCCCAGCTCAAATGTCAATGCATCCTTTGTAACTCACTTGCTGAAGGTCGCCTGGGATTTCTGAGGCAGAATAGGACCTTCCAAGTCCCAAATCAGTGCCCTAACCCCTGGGCCATCCTCTCGCTCTAGTAATCCTGGTAATTAGTGTGTCCGTTCCCCCTCCCCTAAGTGCCATTCTTTTGAGGCAGCACCATAAAATATGTCCTGAGAGAATTTAGCCTAATATAGCCTGGCTCACCCAGGACTGGATGTGTGAAAAGCCCATGCCATAAATATTCATTAAATAAGCAAGCGAGCTTAATATAGAAACTCATAAAGTCAAGTACTCTTAAAGCCCCCTCATTTCTTTTCAAACAATCAGCCAATGAAGATAAATTTGGTGAGGTCGATCACTTGCACTTTCAGGCGAAGGCTGTAAATCTCACTTTGTAAAAGAAAAATCACATGTTTCACTGTTTATAATCTCTGCAGAAAGACCTGGGCCAGCATTTCTCTGTCCTAATTCCCAGTCTCATAACTGTCAGATTATGAAACTGCAGTGTATAAGCCTCCTGAGTTTACAGAAAAACACCTCTTTGCTCTCTGCCACCACTTTAATCGGATGAACTAATAAAAACATGATTCACTATTCATACCAAGTGCCTGGAAGAAAGGAAATGGGAATAGAAGTAGTTTCAAAAAGTCATCTAAAGAATCTTCCACTCACAGCCCCTGGGGTCCCTCCCTTATCTACCAACTTCATCTCATTACCCATAATTTACCACCTCTTTCCCCTCATAATCCTTTGGGCCCCATCTACCAGCCTATGGTGTTTTCAACATTGTCTCAGAGCCCATAGGGCTGTTCATGCTCCCCTGTGGTGTCCTTTGACAATGGTAGCTCCTCAGGGTCACAACACTGGTGCTGGGAATGTCAACTGTTTTTAATGGGACAAAGGAAAGGAGGGATGAATGGCTGGGATCTCCCGGGGGCAGATATGGGAAGGAACAAACTGGCAGCCCTCCCCGGATGATGCTTGCACTTCCTCTAAAGGTGTAAAAGAGCAGTGGTGGTCTTGCTTGAATGAGGTCTCAGAGTACACGGCGTTTCCATGCTGCTTTTGGTCCAACATAGTTTCAGTGAGGATGAGTCTACAGGAGCTTCTCGTGTGCTGCTATAACAGAAGTAGCTTTCCTGGGCTCTTCCTTTCCTCAGGGCCAGGGATCTATTGTTTGGATTAAGCAGCATCTCCAGCAGCACTAAAAATAAAACGGCACATTCAAGGTACCGGAAGAGCTTCAGAGAGGGAAACGTTCCAGAGGAGGGTGCCAAATTTGTGCAGGCACTCTGTGGCACACACAAAAACTGCACTTGCATGGGCACATTTTAAAGGTGCAACTTACCATGGGCACCGAACTTGGTGAGTCAGCCCTTAGCTGTTTCCAATGGAATAAGGCCAAAATAATAGATTTCTATATAGACAACATTTCTGTCTCTATCTTTAATTGCAAAAGGTTCAAAAAAGGGCAACAAAAATGATTAGAGGTATGGAACTGCTTCCATAGGAGAGATTAATAAAACTGGGATTTTTCAGCTTGGAAAAGAGACAACTAAGGGGGGATATAATAGAGGTCTATAAAATCATGACTGGTGCAGAGAAAGTAAATAAGGAAGTGTTCTTTATTCCTTCTCATAACACAAGAACTAGGGGTCACCAAATGAAATTAATAGGCAGCAGGTTTGAAACAAACAAAGGGAAGTATTTCTTCACACAACGCATAGTCAAGCTGTAGAACTCTTTGCCAGAGGATGTTGTGAAGGCCAAGACTATAATGGGGTTCAAAAAACAACTAGATAAGTTCATGGCGGATAGGTCCATCAATGGCTATTAGAGGATGGACAGGGATGGTGTCCCTAGCCTCCGTTTGCCCGAAGCTGGGAATGGGCAACAGGGGATGGATCACTTGATGATTACCTGTTGTCCATTCCCTCTGAAGCACCTGGCATTGGCCACTGTCAGAAGACAAGATACTGGGGTAGATGGACCATTGGTCTGACCCAGTATGGCCGTTCTTATGTTCATCTATCAAAATGGGAAATAGGAACTTTCCATCCTCTTCTTTATTTTTCCCCTCAGGCTTTTAAGAAACAATCCCCAGATATTAATAAAAGAATGACGAATTTCCAACACCATCAGACACTTTCTCTCCCAGCGGTACAGAAATATTCCAGTAGGTCACCAATTGAAGGTGAAACAGCATGAGACTAATCCTACCTGTAGGACTGCAGAGTGCATCTCCATTTAATACATACTGAAAACAAAGCTTAGCCAGCCATATTGTATTAAGACTTCAGAAAGAATGTGCTGGTTTGAAGGGACACATTTAGTACACTGAGTGGGTCTGAGTCTTCCTAATGTTTAGTCACTGACGCGTTAATACCACAGGAGGACACTGGAATCTGGAATTATGTCTGCTCAGTTCCCAACTACCGTGCTGACAAGGGGAGCTATAAACAATGGAAGAAATGCCTTTGCATCCAACTGCAAGTGACTATCCAAATAAGAAACATGTCAGAAAAAGAGAAAAGTAAACAATAAAGGCTCAAAGTGCAGGGGAGTTCCCAGAAAACACTGGCCATAGGACAGGAATTGTTCTACCCAGTTCTGATGTCCTGGAAACTTCCTGTGCATCACTGGTTAGAGGAATAAATGGAAAGGGCCTCGCTATCAGAACACATCTCTCAGTCCTGTATCAGTGGAGGGCTGTTGGTTACCGTATATTCCTCCAGCAACTTGTCTAATGAGAGACCTGCAGTAACTAGGGTTTTACCAGGCGTACGCACAGAGACAGCTAAGCTCTTCTACCAAAAGTCAACACAGAACTCACCCACAATAACCCAACGGCCCGGCCTGTGTGCACATGCCCCTGGGTAATACAATCAGGGCCCAATTTTCAGAAGAGGTGATATCAGGTGCTTAGATGTCTACGTGACATACAATGCACCCACCAAACTAGGCATTACATTGTTTGCAGCTACATCACTTGGGGTGAAAAACCAGAGACTGAGTGAAGATCCCTTTGAAACCTGGGACCTCAGTGTACCAGAGGAGAAGAACATGGCAGCATCTTCTCCTCTTAAAGACTAGCTATGGGGACTAGATATGTGTATCATGGACAGAAGCCTCTTGCCCTCAGGGACTAGGGTGTATGAGACAATGGGTTAGAGATTCCAAAATTAGTCTACTTTGGATTCACAGGATAGTTGCCACAGCATCCATTGGAGAGACAGGAGCATTCGTTATGAGCCGACTTCTCTAGGGAAGTGGGAATAAAACCTTCTTTCATGCCTGCAGTGGCGCTGACCCTTGCTGCGTGAACCCCAAAGTCTGTTGGCCCTGGGCAACATTGCTGGGATTGCCGCGCTGGACTAAAACTGAGGCTCTCTGCTAGTTCCCTGGACAGGAACAGCACAAGCAATGCAAGCATCAGGGCATGGCCCTGCCAGTGGGAGCACCTCCAGTTAGCTCAGCCTTTGGCCTCTTGGTTGAGATTGCCAGCAAGGGGTACTAGTTGGGATGGGCCTGATCCAAAGCCCCAGATCCAAGCACTCCAGACTTTGGGGGACGTCTGCACTGGAACTTTATGGCTTGGACTCATCCCTGGGTTTTTTGTGATGTATCCACCAGGAAGGTTGGTTGAGGCCACCAAACTGCTGTGAGATACGGTAGTACGGATCCTCCATCACTATTGGTCTGAGGAAGAGCCGAAGTCATGATCTAAAAAAGGGAAGTGGAGCATGCTGCAAGAGAACTAAAATCCCCAAATCCAAGGGCCTGTTGTTCACTTTCAGTAAGGCCCCTTTATATTGACTGTAAATGAGAGTCAGGCCACAAGCCTCTTGCCCTTTCCATCCAAGCGGTTCTGAATGTCCTAGGGAGGTTTTCGGTAGGAGGAGCTGCCACTGACTCTCAGGGCTACAATGCCTGTGTGGAAGTTACCCACAAAGCAGAGATTCACCATGGGAATGGAGCGCTACCAGGCCTGATCAGTGCAGAGGTTTAGGAGTAAGCATTAGATTGGGACAATATGCGTACCAGACCTAACGTGATAAGCACAGATGAATGGTGCCAGATCGACAGGCCCCGGAGTTCTCTCTGCAGGCACAGTCCAGTTACAGCAGAAGCAGACTGAGATTTGCCATACTGTCCTGCCAATGGGTCTGACCGGGAGAAGCCACCACTAAGGATAGGAGGTAGTTCAGCCTCCGTGGCCCATGAAATACACAGCCTCTTACTGAGACAGCCAACAAGAGCATTATTGGGTGCTGGTTTGGGGATTGGTTTGGGTTTTTTTTCAATGAGGACACCTGCTCACTGGGACATGGCCTAATTCCCATCAGCTTCATTTCATGTAGGCCCCCAAACAGCCATCACATGGGGTCAGCTTTTATGTCCACCAGCCTGGGCTGAATTCAAAACCAGCAACACAGAGGCAAAAGGCTCCCTATGCCCCTCACCAAATCAGGGCTCCAACACTCACTAACGCAAAAAGGAAGCACCATTGAACAGCAATTGGTAAAAACATAGCCAGGCCTGGCAAGCAACTAAGCAGGGGTCAAGGCTAATCACGCGGCTCATGGTAAAAAAAAAAAATCCCCTCCGCATGCCTATGAGAGCAGGAGAAGAGTGTGCTAATGAAGTCTCCATGCTGAGCCCTTTCCCTCCAGGGAGTGTCTAGCTAGCCTCTGTACAACACAGAATGGGCCCCGCTCACCTGCTCGTGGTACTCAATCCCCATGCTGAGGGTGTTGATCAGAATGGCAATCATGATCCCCCGGCCAAAGTACTTGCTGTCCACGATCTTCCGGAATGTCTCACAAACCACTTTCCAGAAAGCCAGGATTTGGCTGGTTTTCCTGCCCCTGGTTTTCCCTCGCTGAGGGTCCCTCTGGTCGCTGTAGTGGGCGTCCTGGGTGAATTCATACACTCCCTCGCTGTCCGAGTCCGCCGTCTCATTGTCCGTGAGCTCCAGGTCACGAGCCAGAGTCTTGATGCAGTAGGGGCAGCTGTCTGGGTTGCAGGAACCACTGTCCAGTTTGCCACACTGGCTAGAAATCTTGCAAGAACTTTGACAGGCACCTAAAACACAAATAAGCCGAGGTAAGAGGAGTCTGTTCCCTGGATCAGGGAAGCTAAGGGTTCAAATGAAGGGAACTCATTCATTTTATTACCATGTGACTCACTCTGTCTAGCTCCTCCTTATACAGGCTAACAGGAGTCTGCTTGGTCCCTAAGCCTGCATGAAGGCCCGACAGAAGTTATAGTCTCTTGCTCCTTGTCACAGCACTGGCCTTTTAAGAGGGAAAAGGCCAGGGCAGCTGTGGCTAGTCAGCTGATCCCCAGCTGGGCTATCAGAGAAGGCGAGTCAGGCTGAGAGTTAGTCCGAAAAGGGGCAGAGAGCGCTCGCTGCATACTGCCTGAGACCAGGGAGACAGGCCAGACAGGAGACCTGGGTAGTGGGAGCAGGAGCAGCAGGAAGTTCCCTGGGAGTGGCTGCTGTTGTCCCCTGGGAGGGGAGCAGTGGGAACCTGCTGGGGGGAAAGGGTCTCCGAGAGAGAGCCCTGGGATGCAGTGCTCAGTGAACAGAGCACAGGAGAATCCTGCCATAGGTCCTAAAGCAGGAGGAATTGAGAGAGGCAAAGGGGAAACTCCCCTGGGAGCCATAGCCCTGGCTGGGCAGAGGAGTTGTGTTTGTGGGGTTTTTGCCTATATTTGAGAAATAAAACTGCCTGGAAAAGAGACTCTGGGTGTGGCAAGGGGTCCTTTGTGGGCTGGGGACAAGCCAGCACCCTATGCATCCATAAAAGCTCAGAGCTTCTTCCAGATCCCACCGGCACTCTGCTTTCTCGCTAACAATATTATTAATTTCCAGTTCCACCCGCATCTGTCGGCCAAAACATGCAAAATCAGTGACACCGGAACATTTCATGAATCCGTATCAGTTTTGCCCAGTTGTTTGTGTCAAAAAACAACAACAAAAATTCCAAAAATGTTGAAACATTTGGTCTTTTCAGTTTGAAATTTTCTTCATATTTATTGAAAAAAAAGCCCAAACTGGGCATGGAATTGAAACGAAACATAAGAACATAAGAACATAAAAAAGGCCGTACCGGGTCAGACCAAAGGTCCATCTAGCCCAGTATCCTGTCTACCGACAGTGGCCAATGCCAGGTGCCCCAGAGGGAGTGAACCTAACAGGCAATGATCAAGTGATCTCTCTCCTGCTATCCATCTCCACCCTCTGACAGACAGAGGCTAGGGACACCATTCCTTACCCATCCTGGCTAATAGCCATTAATGGACTTAACCACCATGAATTTATCCAGTTCTCTTTTAAACTCTGTTATAGTCCTAGCCTTCACAACCTCCTCAGGTAAGGAGTTCCACAAGTTGACTGTGCGCTGTGTGAAGAAGAACTTCCTTTTATTTGTTTTAAACCTGCTGCCTATTAATTTCATTTGATGACCCCTAGTTCTTGTATTATGGGAATAAGTAAATAACTTTTCCTTATCCACTTTCTCCACATCACTCATGATTTTATATACCTCTATCATATCCCCCCTTAGTCTCCTCTTTTCCAAGCTGAAGAGTCCTAGCCTCTTTAATCTCTCCTCATATGGGACCCGTTCCAAACCCTTAATCATTTTAGTTGCCCTTTTCTGAACCTTTTCTAGTGCCAGTATATCTTTTTTGAGATGAGGAGACCACATCTGTACGCAGTATTCGAGATGAGGGCGTACCATCGATTTATATAAGGGCAATAATATATTCTCAGTCTTATTCTCTATCCCCTTTTTAATGATTCCTAACATCCTGTTTGCTTTTTTGACCGCCTCTGCACACTGCGTGGACATTTTCAGAGAACTATCCACGGTGACTCCAAGATCTTTTTCCTGACTTCTTGTAGCTAAATTAGCCCCCATCATATCGTATGTATAGTTGGGGTTATTTTTTCCAATGTGCATTACTTTACATTTATCCACATTAAATTTCATTTGCCATTTTGTTGCCCAATCACTTAGTTTTGTGAGATCTTTTTGAAGTTCTTCACAGTCTGCTTTGGTCTTAACTATCTTTAGCAGTTTAGTATCATCTGCAAACTTTGCCACCTCACTGTTTACCCCTTTCTCCAGATCATTTATGAATAAGTTGAATAGGATTGGTCCTAGGACTGACCCTTGGGGAACACCACTAGTTACCCCTCTCCATTCTGAGAATTTACCATTAATTCCTACCCTTTGTTCCCTGTCTTTTAACCAGTTCTCAATCCATGAAAGGACCTTCCCTTTTATCCCATGGCAGCTTAATTTACATAAGAGCCTTTGGTGAGGACCTTGTCAAAGGCTTTCTGGAAATCTAAGTACACTATGTCCACTGGATCCCCCTTGTCCACATGTTTGTTGACCCCTTCAAAGAATTCTAATAGATTAGTAAGACACGATTTCCCTTTACAGAAACCATGTTGACTATTGCTCAACAGTTTATGTTTTTCTATGTGTCAGACAATTTTATTCTTAACTATTGTTTCGACTAATTTGCCTGGTACAGACGTTAGACTTACCGGTCTGTAATTGCCGGGATCACCTCTAGAGCCCTTTTTAAATATTGGCGTTACATTAGCTAACTTCCAGTCATTGGGTACAGAAGCTGATTTAAAGGACAGGTTACAAACCTTAGTTAACAGTTCCGCAACTTCACATTTGAGTTCTTTCAGAACCCTTGGGTGAATGCCATCTGGTCCCGGTGACTTGTTAATGTTAAGTTTATCAATTAATTCCAAAACCTCCTCTCGTGACACTTCAATCTGTGACAGTTCCTCAGATTTGTCACCTACAAAAGCCAGCTCAGGTTTGGGAATCTCCCTAACATCCTCAGCCGTGAAGACTGAAACAAAGAATCCATTTAGTTTCTCCGCAATGACTTTATCGTCTTTAAGCACTCCTTTTGTATCTCGATCGTCCAGGGGCCCCACTGGTTGTTTAGCAGGCTTCCTGCTTCTGATGTACTTAAAAAACATTTTGTTATTACCTTTGGAGTTTTTGGCTAGCCGTTCTTCAAACCCTCTTCGGCTTTTCTTATTACATTCTTGCACTTAATTTGGCAGCGTTTATGCGCCTTTCTATTTGCCTCACTAGGATTTGACTTCCACTTTTTAAAGGAAGTCTTTTTATCTCTCACTGCTTCTTTTACATTGTTGTTAAGCCACGGTGGCTCTTTTTTAGTTCTTTTACTGTGTTTCTTAATTTGGGGTATACATTGAAGTTGGGCCTCTATTATGGTGTCTTTAAAAAGCGCCCATGCAGCTTTCAGGGATTTCACTTTAGTCACTGTACCTTTTAATTTTTGTTTAACTAACCCCCTCATTTTTGCATAGTTCCCCCTTTTGAAATTAAACATTTCATTGTGGGGAGAATGAAACATTTAGTTTGACACAAAATAAAACAAACTTTTTTTTAAACGTTTTGGTTCGCCAAAACTGTTGAAATGTTTTGTTTTTGATGGGACCCGCAATGAAATTTCGTATTGATTTTTCAGAATCGTCAGGGAACCAAAAAAAAACCTGTTATTCGCTCATCTCTACCCACTCTCCTTTTCTTATCCTTGATCTGTGGCGGCAGGATCCAGATCAGGAACTGTCCTTTGGAAGTGTTTAGAAAGCGCATAGCGGGCATTACAGCAAATAAATAAATAACAAGGCCTGATACCTGTTCTGAGCATCTCCCTATGTCAGGAATTATTCTCTTATAAACCCCAGTTGCTTAGATTCCCCCAACCCTTATACTGCATGTCCCAAACAGGTTAAAGAGGGTCATGCAGAAACATTATAACTCCAAGTATCTTCCCTTTATCTACTAAGTGGTTTTCTGCTGCCCACAGTGAGACATATTCACCAGCCAAGGGATCCTTACCACCTCATTATACCTTTGGCTATTAGTGCTAACAGAGAGTAATCAGCTCCTCCAGAACCTGGAGCGTTAGGCGTTGTAATTAGAGACAGTGAGTCAGCCAGAGAGCTACTTTCATACTCCTGCTGTTTGCTGATACTTCAGAATTACCAGCTTCCCCCTAAACATATGATTCTCAAATCGTTCCTCACAAGGGCAGCTCCCAGCTGACAGAGGGTTCCTTCGCTTGACAGTACAGGCAGGATATGCTCCTATCAGAGCTGCCTGCAAGCGGAATGGGAGGGTACATCTGCAAGTGCATGCCTGACAAAGCCACAATATCACCATCCAGGTTAGGTGAAATAAAAACCAAGCTCTCCCGCCCTCGCCCCAAAACCTTTGCCCATTTTCAGAGCCCAACTCAAATCGCTTGTCGGGTTCTGGAATGGCTGGAAAATCATGTCCACTTCACACTCAAGGTTCCAGTCAGGAGGGTGAACTGGAAAGGTTAAAACAGAGCGAAAGGCCATTGCTTTTTTTGGGTTTTTTTTACTGTGATACAAAGTGGACATGCCAGAAAGCGTCGCCTAGAAGGACTTCCAGCCCCCAGAGGCTGAGAGAGTTTGAACAAGATTTGACTATGTTCCCAAACCCCAGGATGTAAAGGCGGAAGGAGTGTCGTACAGAGACGGTCTTAGCCTGGGATTCAGGAGACCTCGGTTCAGTTTCTGGCTCTGCCGCAGACTTCTGGCAAGATTCTGAGCAAGTCACTTAGGGCCTGATTTTCAAACATGCTGAGCCTCGGCAGTTGTCATTGCCTTGAATTAGAGTTGTAGGTGATCAGAAGCTCTGAAAAAATCAGGCCTGGAATCTCTCTGAGCCTCGGTTCCCTCTCTGTAAAATGGGGATAACCATACTCACGGACGCGTTATGAGGATCGAGTCTTTCCAATCTGTGAGGCACTCAGATACTACAGTAATGGGGAGCAATATAAGCACCTAGAGAGACAGCTATCCAAACCCAAACCGAACGCCAAAGAGTGGGCAGTACAGCCTGCACTGAGGGCAGTGTTTTGCCTAAAGATGGGCCAGAACACCCCTGCGCTTTGGGCAAGTTCAGATCCAGATCTGCACTTTGCGCCTTGGGCCCAGCTCTAGTCTGATTAGGAAATGCTGTGATTTGAGGTGGTCAATGGGACTGGGGAGAAGAGCCAGGCAAGACAGATTCTTACAAAAAAACAGAGATTTCCTGATAGTCCATTGCCCTAGGTCTTTGCTGGCGCAAAGCTGGGAAGCAGAGACTTCCACTCAGGTTCTGAACTCGGGATGCATTTTGTGGGCGGGAAGATCCTGACTTGGCCTTACCTGGAAAGCCAGCTCCTGTATCTATACTGTGGACTGAAAAGAATCCTGGAAAGATTCAGCGGAAAGAAAAAAGAATTAGGACTTAGGTCTTATTTCTGGAATGCAACCAAAGGCTGACCCCCAGCTCCAGCACTCACCAGTACTCTGGGTCTCCAGGAGCTTGTGCATGGTGCTGTACGGCCCAGGAGGGATATTAAGGTTGGTTAGCGTGCTGGCTCCAGGGTTCACTGTAGAATCTGCTACGTTTTTCTCTTTCACCATCTCATGGGAGGTGCTTGGGTGTACGGTGGGATAGACCTTCCTGCCAACCACATTCTTGGGGAGCCCCTCTGGGCTTGGTAAACTCAAGCCAGGCTGAGGGAGGGATGACCTGCAGTGGATGGGCTCAAAGTGGCAATCTGCATGGTAGATGCTGTGCACGGACTCTGTGTTGCTGGCAGCAGCATTGGGGGCAGCATGGGGATTAGATGTTGTGGGAGGGAGCATGAGCCTTTTGGTGCCATTGTGGAGTGAGCTGGTTTCCACATCGCTGATCTCAGGGCTGGCGCGTGGTGCCCGCAGGTTCCCATTACCCAGGTGGTAGTGGTGGTGGTGGTGGTGGTGATGGTGAATCAGATGATGCACTGATGACCTTTTCCTCTGCCGATGTTTGCATGGCTGCCTCTCGGCCCCACTCTTATTCCTCGGGCTGGAGAGGAGACCCATTTTGAACCCTGCCTCTCTATAGCCTTTGACCACCTGTTTGCTGGCCTTACGGGCAACATAAACCAGATATTTGAGAAGTTCATCATAGCAGCTACCCGGCTCCGAAAAACTGGCCAGCGTACTGGCATTGGATAGGTAACGGACCCGCTGCTCTTTCATCAGCTGGCTCTCTCGCTGCTTAGTCTCAGAGAACTGGGTGGCGATGACTACTAAGCAGAGGTTGATCATGAAGAAGGAGCCCACCTAAAGGAGAACAGAAGATGCCATCAGTCCAAGAGAGAGGGTGGCGGGGTATGTGTGTGATGACTATTGATAGCTGCTACCACAATGGAAACAAAGGACCCCAAACAGGGATCAGAACCCATTGTTCTAGTCAGTAGAGCTGGCCAACATTTTTCAGACAAAAGGTTTCCCCCCCCACACCAATAAATAAATAAATAAATGCACATTTGGGTCTACCAAAACATTTTGCAAAGTTGTGCCGAATTTGCTGAATGGTTTTGGCTGGGGAAAAAAAATAGTTGAAACAAAACATTTTGATTTTTCTATTCAAAATGACTTGCATTTCAAATTTGCTTCAATTTTATTTTGGAAAAAAAAAGTATAAAAAGTTAAAACGCTTTGAAAACAAGAGATTTCATTTTGAGTTGAACCAAATGGGTTTTACTTGACGCAAAACATTTTTTTTCTACATTTACATTTCTCTACAAAAATTGAAAAGTTTTGTTCTGGGTCAACTAGAATAATGTTTCCCCCCCGGTTTTTTGGTTTGGCCACTGAACCAAGCAATCAGTTGTTCGCACAGCTCTTCTAGACACTGAACAAACAAATAACACAGCTTGTCTCTGCCCCAGACTGCTCAAAATCTAAGACAGGATATTGTGGATGGGTGAATAAAAAGCAACGTGCATGTGTGTTAGTTGTAAGGGCGCTCTCAGGAATCGCACATGGTCACTAGTTTAGCCAAAGACAGATCATGGTGGTTTGCAGGCATCACAGCAGAGATGGGTTTTAAGCAGGGATCTGAAAGAAGATGAAGTGGCAGCTTTGTGAAATCTGCTGGGGAGTTTTTCCCCCAGCATAAGGGAGGGGACAGGAGACAGTGTGACGGTGCTTGTGGGAAAAGCAGGCGATGGAGGTTGGCGTCATTGACAGAGCAAATGGTGGGGTGGACGTGCAAGAAGAAATTACATTCACAAGGTAAGGCAGGGCCATACAGAGGAGGAGCTTAAAGGTGAGAATAGCAGCAGTTTCTGCTCATTGAGGAGGAGGTGGTGGCAGCCAGTGGCAGGACACAAAAAGTGGGGGTGAGATGGCCATGGATGTGGGCGTGTGTGAACATGTTGCAGCAGTGGAGGCTGGACACACCTAACACTGACACACCATAGGCAAGGGCTAATATTTCAGCAAAGAGTAGAGATCTCACACTGACTCACTCACAGGGCGGGCGGCCCCCTGTCCTGTCTGCCCTGCAGGGGCATGCAGGAGACAGCCTCTCAGAATCCCCACTGTGGTGCCTCCCACGCCAGGTCTCCACGGATGACGTCATATATCAAAGAGGAGGGAACGTTTATTTTGACTAAGAGACTTTGTTGTTTTTTTTTAAATATCTGAGGTCCTCTTTGGTTTGGTTTTGTATTTTGTTTTATGTCTCAGCAGACACTGCTTGTAATTATCACAATTAGCTGCATTAGAATGAAAGCACTGAGCCCTTTTGATAGGAGGCTTTTTCTTCTGGCAGTGTGTGGGTGGCTTGTGAAATCTTTGTTAACCGGATTTATGGGGATATTGTTACTCAAGAGCATCAGCTGTCTGTAGCCAAGGATTTGATATTTTATTCCAAACTTGGGTTTCATTAGATTCTGTGTTGTGTAGATCATGGGCACTATTCCACTTGGATTAAAAAGAGCAACCAATGACTTCTCAGTCTTGCCTTCTCCCCAGTCCCTCGTAATCCACAACAGCACAGGCTACCAATGCCTTGCTCTGCATTGCCTTTGGGATGCATAGAGCGCAAGGAGCTGTTGCAGAGCAGGAGGAATTATCACTAATTAGGAACAGAAACACTTGGAGAACTAGTGATAGACTAAACAGACTAACTTCCAGGTCACCAGTTCAAACCCAGGACTGGTTGGTAACGACTACAAATGAGCACAATGGTGTTTTGTGGCCAACGTGCAGTGATTTTGGTGGTCTTAGTCCATGCCTAACAGGACAGAAATCCACAACACAGAAGCCATCCCAGCTGGCAGTCTGAGCAGTCTCCAGAGACATGGGCCTCAGCAGGTTGGGACTGAGGCTGAACTAACAACTGAGCACATGTGCTGCACTGAGGGCTCCAGCCTCCAGGACCATCTGTCTGACATTTTTCATCGAAGTAGAAGCGATGGTGTTTTCTTGTGGGTGGAGCCTTTGACAGGCTCCATGTACCCAAGGAGTTAGAGCAGGCCGACACCTTACAGCGGCACGAAATTCATGTACTGTTTCACTTACATTTTTTTTAAATAAAAAGGCAAAGAGGAGGAGTCTATTGCAAAGCAGGAAGAAGGATGAGGAGGGTGACGTACCACCAAACAGGAGGAGGGGGACCCAGTGTAGAACAGGGGAACATATACTTACTTCCATTCATGTCTCCAGCAAAACACAGCTAGATGTACAACTACAGCAGAAATTCACCCCCTGCGCAACATATTTCACCCCTTTAACAAGGAGAAATGGGGTTGTTTCAATGTATGTAAAACTCATCTGCATGTCCTCCAACGAGTTGGTTACCACCTCTCCCAGCCTGGATTAAGTGCTATATCCAACACCCTTCCTGCCCACTCCTCTGCCCATTCACACGACTACGTCCTTCCCCGTACGCCTGAGCGAAAGGCGTGCTACCCACTGGGTGGGCTGAGAGATCACTCACGATGATCAGAAGGATGAAGTAGATGAAATTGTAGAAGGAGTGAGCATCCATGACGAAGTACATGATGTCCACCCAGCCCTCCAGCGTGATGACCTGAGAGAGGCAGGAGAAAGAACAATCAGCCCACCAGTCAACACCTCCATTGGCCTAAGCTTTAACATGAAGCACAGGAGGAACAGCACTGATGCCCTTCGCACTGGTCAGCGACAATCTGTGCTGCACCAAGGCCACGTACTATAGCTCAGAGGGCAAAATCTTGCTCCCTTAAAGTCAGCGGCAAAATTTCCAATTAACCTCAATGGAGCAGCATTTGCTCACCCAAGTTGTGCAGCTCTAAAATAGAGTCCCGCTGAGGAGAAGGACGTAAGCCAACGTAACACAGTACGCTCTCACCGCAGCTGGAAATGGCCTTTTCCTCCTACCTCTTGGGCCAGATTCTTGCTTAAAGTGGCAACTTGCTCTCTGTCTCAAATACACTGGTATGTTTCAGTGTGGGATAAACATAGTATAGAATAGTGGGATGGACTCATTGTGCTTACAAAGGTTCATACACCATTTGTTAACCTGCTTATTTAATGCCACTCAAAGTGGTAATTGGAAACATACCTCATGTTAAAAAGCCTTATGCCAATGATGCTTCCAGGGTTCCAAGAGCTGACGATGCAAAGAAAAGTGATGCACAAACTGAGTTGGAAGGAAACTCTTGGGTGAAATTCACTGCTGTGCAGAGAACCTGCAGAAAAGCCTGTATACCTCTTAAATCCCAGTTAATCCCTTAAATTGGATTTAAATGGTGCATAGACCTTCTACACAGGAGTGAATTTCACCCCAAGTGAGGAAGGCTTCTTCAGACTGGACATCAAATTGCCTTCCTGGCAGCCTATGAGACTCTCGCATTACTGCTCAAGAGCTTTCTGTGTATGGAATAGCCATTGGAGAGCAGGTCTGATCGTGCAGATATTTGTGAACCTAGCACAGATCAAGGTAGATTTGACCTGACCTCCGAATACTCACTCTCAGTGGGGGTGAGAATGGGAGCCCACTCACCTGAAATATTGCGATCCATGCATATCCGATGTTGTCAAAGTTGATTGCTCCTTTGAAGGGGTTGTGTTCCCCAGCAGAACAGTTGGTGTAATACTGGTTCCAATTGACGCAGGAGGTGTTAGTGGTGTCGTTATAGGCGTAAAAGTCCAGGGTGCACTCCAGGCCTTCTTCCCTCCGTGTCGGGATACTGCGGCAGTAACGCATTCCATTCTCCCGAGGCTGGGAGCAGATGAAGGGATTTTCATCCTCATTCTCGGTCTGATAGTATCTTTCCAACTCTACCGTGTAGGGCCTTAAAGAGACCAGACAAGGTTGGGTTTTGCACAGTGACTAAAGGCAATCTGTCAAGATAACAACAACAGCAACACTGCAGGTATCTAACAACTTTTATCCAGGATCTCAAAGCATTTTACAAAACTATTTAATTCACCTTGCAGAAGCCCTCTGATGTGACTTCATATTATTACGCCCATCTTGGGAAACTAAGGCCTGATCTACCACTTAAAACTAGATTGACCTAGCTACACTGCTAAGGGGCATGAAACATTCATATCCCTGAGCACCGTAGTTAAGCCGACCTAACTCCCGGTGTAGATGCGGCTAGGTCAACGGAAGAAGTCTTCCCTCAACCTAGCTACCGCAGCCTGGAGGGGAGGATTAGCTAAACCCCTTCTATCAGCGTTGGAAGTGTCCACAGTATGGCGCTACTGTAGCCCGGCTGCACTGATGTAACTGTGCCTCTGTAGTGTCCGTAGTGTAGACATGGCTTGGGGCAAAGACAGGCGAAGGGACTTGCCCAAGGTCACTCAGAGAGTCAGCGGCGGAGCCAGGAATAGCTCTCAGGGATCATGATGCTTACTCTTCTGTTACAATCACTAGCACGCACAGCCTCTCTTCAGCTATTGAATGGCAAGGAAAAAAGAGAGAAGCAGAAAAAGAAATGAAGGAGGTGGGGAGAGGGAGAGAGGTAGCTTGGACACATTGGGCCAAATTCCACTGTTAGCTGCCATGGTGTAAATCTGAAGTGACACTGCTAATGTTATTGCAGAAGAGTAACTCCACCCAGATGTACTCCTGGTTTACATTGGTGGAAGAGAGAGCAGCATGTGGCCCACAAATTTTACATCCTTTATGAAGTTGTTGTCACTGAAGTCAGATGGGAATCAGTCAGTTAAGGCGAATTTATCTTCTGCCCTCCCAGAGTTGCTGAGAACATCTGTGCAGCAGGAGAATTCATTGCTTGGATCGACTCCTTCACAAGGCAAGCACCACCCAAGATTCCCTACACCACCGTTAGCTCTCTTGTTCACTGCTCAAGGTGACAGTTCAACGTCAGACAAGCTGAAAATTCCCTCCAAAGGTGGTCCCGGAACAACAAGCAAGTCCAAATCACATGCTCCAGGGGAGACAAAACAGCCCTGTGGCCAGCTGGAAACTAGCTTATTCTTGCTCAATAAATGGCTATTTCCTTAATGCCACCTGGACTCCCACTAAAGCTTGCAAAGCTATTGTTAAGCCTAGTTCGGCCCAGTTAATTCCTGCAGAATTGCCTTTAATACCATCCAAAGCTTAGCTAAACCCCTGGAATTCTGGTTAAATTAAACAGCACCCAAACCAGTAGCTGCATTGGATTTACCCAACCGCAAATCAGTTCATTTGCTCTATTACCCATTTACCTAAAGGGCCTTTCCATGTTAATGAAACTCCAGCTCCACTCCCAGAGAATGAAACCTACAAGAGGTGTGGCACAATGTTCAGAGCTGAAAGGGAGAGGACTGAGATTCTCCCTCTCGGCATAGATGTAACAACTTGATCAACTTCTGTAAGTTTACAGGCAAAATGATTCATGGGCTACCTACAAAGTTTCAGATCCTGTGTTTTGCATCTGGACCTCACACCTCTAGTACTGAGAGTATAGTTATATTTACTGTAGTTCTGTTGTGTCTCTTTTGATGTTTTGGACGCCGGTTCTTTAAGAGGAATAATACTAAGGCCCTGGTTCTCAGCCTGGGAGTTGTGACTCCTGGGGTTTAGTGAATAGGTATCAGGGCATGATGATCACCTTGCCCCAGGCTAGATCAAGACTAGGGGAGAGCAGAGTTGGAGGGGTTCCAGTCTGGAAACGGCAGAGAACCACTGTACTAGGGGATATTTAGAATATCAGTAAGGTTCTGAAAGTGTTAATACTCCAGGCAAGTGGTCTGGCCAAGAATAACCGAGAAATTGGAAGCCAGCAAACAAAAGTTTGATCAGAACGGTCCCTTCTGGCCTTAAAAATCAATGGACATGAATAGCTCTTTGGGGAGGGACTGCATCTTCCTGTGTGTTTGCACAGCCTACAGGCTATGCGCAGTTCAGTTATCTGGTTGGGATCTTTAGGTGCTACTGCTACCGCCAAAAAATAAATAATCAGATGCTGAATGGGGCTTAGGTCTCAGTGTCTTGGCACATGCAGAAAAGGTCACGCAGTAATTGTATGCTGAATCTGGGAAGTCTGAGCAATCTCTCTCTCTCAGGTTTTTCTAAGGCACCTATCCGTCAGGGTGGTATCTAAGCACTGTACAACAATTAAAGGCAGTGCTCCATGTGCCTGAAATGGCACTTTTGTCACAACCTCCTTTGTTCCTGCAGAGCATATCTGGGTGGGAGTTTGGGATGTTGTTTGGGAGTAGGGAATATTTGTGGAATGTTGATTTTTAAGGGAGCATGGTCCTGTCTTCTGGAGGTTTAGAACCGAGTAGGGTCCAAGTGACCCTCCATGCTTTGAATTATTTGTATACTGTACACCTCTACCTCGATATAACGCTGTCCTCGGGAGCCAAAAAATCTTACCGCGTTATAGGTGAAACCGCGTTATATTGAACTTGCTTTGATCCACCGGAATGCGCAGCCCTGCCTCTCCCCCCCCTCCGGAGCACTGCTTTACCGCGTTATATCCGAATTCGTGTTATATCGAGGTAGCGGTGTACTGTATATACTGTTACACCGAAAGGGGCTAATGTCTTGACCATTGGGGTCATTTGATTCATTAGCCCCCAGCACTTTGTTAAAGAGATAGTGTGGGCTGATTGGCTGAATCACTCTCCTTTGTCTGGCAGTGAAAGCGCTGAGGTTTCTTTGTACGTGAAGCCGCTGCACAAAAGGAGAGCTGATGCCCTGGCTCACCTTTGAAAGCCATGTGGTCCGAGAGGAGAAGCTTTGAGACGGGGTTTTCCCAGGTACAAATCTCCTGGGGCAGGAGGAGAAAACCGTTTGTTAAGCAACTGAGATTTGAGAGAGAGAGACAGGGGCCATGTCTACACTATGGCTGCTACATAGGCACAGCTACGATGCTGTAGCTATACCACGGTACTGTCATAGTGCAGACACTTCCAATAGTGACGGAAGAGATTTCCCATCACTAGGAACTTCAGCTCTCCAAGTGATGGCAGGTAGGTTGACAGAAGCATTCTTCCATTGCCCTAGCTGCGTCTACACTGGGGCTCAGTCGGTGTAGCTACGGTGCTCGGGGGTGTGGAATTTTCAAGTCCCTGAGTTCCGTAGCTATTAAGTATAAACTAGGCCAGAGAGAGAGAGACAGAAGCGAAAGGTAGCTGCTTCTGGGACAGGACAGAGATGGGTCTCAGACCTGAAGAGAGCAAGCTGCCTGTGTGCAGTCTGTGACCACCTCTGTTCAAGGAAACGGGACTCGTGTACATTTGGTAAACACACACATTACGCTACGCAACTGCTGGAATTCAAGTCATCGATTTCTGCTCCGAACGCAGAATTGACCTGCAAGGCCTAAACCTGGCTTCCGCTCAGCAAAGGGGCAATAATACACTGATTTGGGTGAAGTCCATTTCATTTGCATGTTACCGTAGAACATGCAGGGCCTGATCCCGTCACCCTCGCTCATGCTGAGTAACTGTGCCACTTGCAGAGGAAGGTAGTACCCAGCTTGAGTAACCTCCTGGTTGCTTTATGCTAGTTTCTGCTGATTTATGTATTTCTTGAGTTTTTCATCCTGTTTACAAAAATTGCAAAGCCAGTTAAGCCAAGAGTAAACATGTGACTGGAGAGTGAGTGTGAAAAGCTATTGGATTAGAAGAGCAACACAACACACCATAGAATGGGAAAATGGGCAAAGGGAGAGATGGCACGAACCTCCCACCTGAGATCCCATCATCACGGATCTTCCCACAAAGGGGCATTGCCAGCTGGGATCCCTCAGCCACTAAGTACCAATAGGCAGAAACATCAGGCCAATATCTCTCAGCTACGAATATTCCAGGTGCATGTGCTTATACCCACTCACATCCTTAGGGGCAGACAATCAGGGTTCGTCTATACCAGTGGTTGTCAACCAAGGGCCTGGGACCCGCTGGAGGGCTGCGAGCTGGTTTCAGGGGGTCTGCCAAGCAGGGCTGGCATTAGGCTTGCTGGGGCCCAGAGCAGAAAGACAAAGCCCCACCGCATGGGGCTGAAGCCCAGGGCCCTAAGCCCCACCACCCAGGGCTGACGCTGAAGCCTTAGCAATTTAGCTTTGCGGGGCCCCCTGTGGTGTGGGCCACGGGCAATTGCCCTTATTACTACTCCCCAACACTGGCCCTGGCTTTTATATGCATATATACAGTTGTTGGGGAACAGGTGGGCCGTGGAGGTTTTAAATAGCATGTTGGGGGCTCAGAAAGAAAAAGGTTGAGAACCCCCGTTCTACATTATGAGCACTACAGTGGCACAGATACGCTGCAGTAGCACCATAGTCTAGATTCTTCTTACAACAGAGGCAATCCACCTCCCCGAGCGGATTCCATTGACCTAGCCACGTCTACACCAGGGGTTAGGTCAGCATAGCTATGACTCTCAGGGGTGTGAATACATAGCGGTAACTAAGTCAACCCAACTTATAAGTACAGCCCAGACCTCAGTCTATGTCCCTCAGCCACTTACCTTTTGACATGCTAATAGGCCTACAGTTAGCTGGGGTTCCCCAGTCACTAATTTCCCAGTTAAGGTCCCTTCCCCAGTCTATCCATCTCATCTGTCTCTCAGGCACTAGCCTCCTGATACCAGCTGAGACTGGCTGGCTGTTTCCTCAGCCAGGTGGAATTCCTCAATCACTGATCTCCAGGCAGAAGTGTCTCACATTTACATTGTGTTTCTGTAAGCTGGGAAATTACCATTCCTTGCACTACATCAGGATCAGAGGGTGAAATTCCCTCTAGACACATAGGTCACATTAACAGAGACGTACTGCAGATACCTATTTTAATGCCAGAGGTTTATTAGATCGATGTATTGTTAAGCTCATTCTTCACTGAGCTGAGAAAGCACCTGCCTCTGGAGCATTCCTTTCATGAAACCCATGAAGAAATTCAGTATCAGAGCAGTGGTGGTTCCTTACAGCCAAGTCCAGGTCCCACTGCTGTCAATGGCACATTCCTATTGGCTTTGACGGAAGCAAGAATTGACTCTTAGACAGGTTTCGATCGGCCTCAGTTCCCAGGCCAGATGGGGATCCTTTATTCATACTTACAGACTGAAGTTCTCAGGTAGGAAGCAGCGGTTCCTGAGCAACCCTGCCCACAGCTGGACTCCCACGATGCCAAAGATAAAGAAGACAAAGAAACAGAGGAGGAGGACGTTCCCCAGCATGGGCAGTGTGTCCAAGAGCAGCGTGACCAGGATGCGCATACCTGAGGCAAAAAGGGGAGTGGCCTTTAAATTTCCTCATTCCTCACATTCAGGCTAAGCTCTCCCCACCCTGTCCTTTCCCAAGTGGCCTTCCACCCACTCACTGCTCAACTCCCTTCAGTAACCTCCCCACTGTCTTCCCACCCAATGTCCTTTTCACCCGCGGGTGTCTTCCAGGCACCTACAGCTCCCCCACTCACCTCTGAATTCCTGACAAGGATCTTGGGACTTTCTCCCTTCAACCCTACATGCCGCCATTAGCCCCACCTCTTCACAATCACTGGGGCATCTAACCCACAATCTTTCCACACTCACTTCTTCCCCTTTGAACTCCTCCCCTTCCTCTCAAAATTCTCCTTCCCTAACTTTTCAGCTTAACTCTCTTCCTTCTTAACCTAGACTGAACTCTGCCATTCGCCCATAAGCTCCTCCTACTCACATTACCTCTAGAGTAATTCTAGAGCCTTCAGTATAAATTAAAATCCCCTTCCCTTCCTAATTCCTCTTATCTCTTCTAAATCCCTTCTCCTCCTTAAAATACAGGACTTCCGATGGCAGTTAATTCATACAAGTTTGGGAACATTCAGTTCTGTACCAAAGACAAATTGATGGTGACTTCAACTTGACATTTACACAAAAAAATTGATTTCATCCGACATCTCTGTAATATTCTGCTCATCTCTCTTTCCCTCTCTCCCTCCATCTCTTGCATTCGGTCTCTTGCTTATATTGATCTTTATTTAAGGAAACCTTCACTGTGCCCTCTTTTACTTTTGGTACCTCAACAAGCCTTTTTCATTGTTACCGGATGCTGTCACCTCCAGCCCACGCTGTCCCTCCTCTGACTGGATAAGCCTCCCTACATAACTCCTAAATAACAAACAACCTGCTCTAATTCCTGCATTTATCGTCTATCAGAACTCTCTTTCTTCCATTCCCACCTTATGTTTATATCCTGCTCTAGCTCCACTACATAAGAGATAGGATAAATCAGCCAGAATTTGCAAATCCATTAAGTGAATTACATCCACAGTTAGACAGCGGCAGATAAATTCCACCATCCATCAATTCTGCAGGGGGGGGGATTACAAACAGGGTTCTGAAACTACTGTAATGATAAAAACAGCAGCAAATAGCCAACCAGATTAAGTTTAATAGACAGGATCAGAAAAATAATTACAGCCTAGGAATTTCCAGCATCGCTGGACAGAGTGGGGGCCAAGTAGCGCCCGTTGAGGAGACAGGCTAGTTCAGCCAGCTGGGCTGCTCTTCTGACTTAGATTTACTTTGGCTGATAACCATGGTGAATTAGATACTTTCTATGTGTTTGGAAGCCAGTGTATCTTTTCCAGTGATGTTGCATCTGCATTTAGCACACATGATGCTCAGAATTTATGAGTGGGACCAAGTTTATTATCTTTCTACCTGCTGGTTTTATCTTGCTGCCCATCCCTGTATCATCTGAATGCCTTCCACTTAAAATCAATAGCAAAATCCCTGTGGGCCAAATGGCGTCTCCAGCAATGACACTTCCGTCTTCTTAGGGCCAAAACTCTACTTGGGGTAGGTTTGTTTTTTGCTGGCGTTTGGCCCTAGAAGGGTCTGTTTCTATTGTGGAGCATCACTTCTGGGGGAAAGGAAGGTTTCGCATAATTTCTTAAAGATGATAACGAACTTGGTGAGGGCCATAGCATCATTTAACTCCCTGAAAGACAAATCATGAATTCTTAATCAGCAGTTCGCATCCACCTTGTCCTTCCCATGTTGCTAAATAGGAGGATGGTCCCACTGTGGAAAAGGTTGAGAATTGCTGATTTACACAAATAACATGGCCCTAGCCTAGGGGATCCTAAGTAGTGACTCCGGGCTTGTCTCTATGGGGAAAATTACCGGCACACAACTATACTGGTATATCACTTTGAAAGTGGTATAACCTAAATGGAAAAAAGGCTCTCTCAGTCCAGAATAAGAGTGTCTGCAGGGGAAGCTATACTATAACTATAGCAATAAAATTATACTCGTATAGTTCTGCCTATACATTCCCCTGGGTAAACAAGGCCTAAGAAGTGGAGGAAGGGAAGATGCAAAGCTGCTGCAGCATAGCTGAAGATGTGGTCCACAGATGTGGTCCTTGAACTATTGTAACAATACAAGCATGGCAAGTGCTCCCCATTCATGATCTATACCCGCCCCCCTCCAAAAACACATAGACCAGATCAGTCACTCTCCTCAGTGCCTTTTACATTACACACCAGTCCTTCCTCCAAACTAACTTTTCATCTACTTGCAAAGTGATTCGGAGAGGAGCTCCCTAGCAGGAAGGGGGCAGCGTACCAGATAAACAAATGGAACAGCGTGGCTGGTCTGTGACTGGCTTTTTGATTACCAATTTGCTCCTGTTTCCAAAGATGGTTAGATGGATGGACTATTCACTAAAACCAGCATGGTGTTAGGAACTACAAAAGGACCAGGGAACACAATAGCAGCTGTAGGAGCCAGCCCACTCAAGACACATAGACCAACATTTTTAGTGCAACTTGAGAAAAAAGATGCAAAGCATCCCAGTTGCTCCTTCAGCACCACAGTGTCTGGAATAATGAGCTGGAACGAACTGAAAAAGGGAAGACAACAGGGAATCGACTTACTGGGAACTCTGTTAATGGCTCTGAGTGGCCGAAGTACTCGGACAGTCCGAACAGCTGAGAAACTGACATTCTGCAAGTCCAGGGAGTATTCCAGCATGCTACAGAAAACACAAACATGGGAGCACATGAAAGATCTGCAGGAGAAATGTTAGATTATCAAACATTATATGCAGAGTGCCCACAGAGACACTTTCAATTCTGTCTTCCCCATCGGGAAAGGTTTCTGGAAGAATTAATTATGCTTATTTGCATATCTGAATAAAGTCAACGAGAGAGAACATTGCACAGTTCTTCCCTCTCTCTCTTTGGTTACTGTTCTTGTATAGGTTCCAGGGGAGTAGCTTCCTGCAGATTATTCTATTATCCAGGAGGGGAATTTTCAGAGAGAGGTTTAGTTGTAACAATAATGTAAATGCTGTAAGAAATCTGTGGCCACTTAGGATTTCATGGTTGTCACTGTACTGCATGCCATAGCAACTGAAAACAGCCGGGAAAGAACTCTGACACTCCCGCTGCAAGAGCGTGGGCACCTTAGCCCCTATACTGTTCTATATGAGAGTTGAGCGATTCCAAGTCTATCCCGCAGAGGGCAGTGAAATAAACACAGGTGGACAGAGAGATACACACTCAAGTCAAAATACTTATGAGTTTTATATAACATTTACCCGTTCAAAGTACTATACAAACTTTACCCCATTAACCTCACAATAGGTCTGTGATGTATACAATAAAGTATCCCCATTCTACAGCTGGAGACACTGAGGCACAAAAAGGTTAAGTGACTTTCCCAAGACTGGGGTGGCAGAACTGTTACTAGATCTTGGCAGAACTGTTACTAGATCTTGGGGGTTCCTGACTCATTCCTCTATGCCACGCTCCCACTCGCTAATTGTTGTGGGAATGATTATAATGTCACTAACAGGACTGTCTCGTTCGGTGGGGAAGGAAGCAGAAGTCTGGAAGCAAAGCATTTTTTAAAGGATATTGTCAGGTCAGGTCACACTTAAAATGTTATGTTTTGAATTTTTTTACAAACCTTAAGATCAAGACACAGTTTGAGCTTTTTGTTGTTGTTTAATTCAGATTTTTATTTTGCTGTAAACTCATTGTTTGCATCCCAAATATAATAGCAGGGTTCTAGAGCAGGAGAGCCAGAAAGTGACACTGACAAGTTTATTTTCATCATCCAACTTCAGAGGAATGCTCATAGGAAAAACACAGCATTCATGGTGAAAGAAGGGGTAGGCTGGGTGTCAAAATTAGATCCCAATCCTGCAAAGACTTCAGCCATTGCTTTTAGCAGGATTATCCACATTGGGTGAAATCCTGGCTCCATTGAAGTCTGTGGTAAAACTTCTTAACCACCTGCATATGTTTTTGCAGGATCAGGGCATATAAATCCAGATTCCACACATACAGATTTTCCTTGACACATTATTGACACAGGGGCTAACAGCAAAACTCAGAATAAGGTCTCACTCATCACATCATCACTGTTTATGTATTTTTGGATTTGATATTTTGGTCTAGGCTCATCTAGACTGATGAATAGATCAGATTTTAATAACCATGGTGTTACTGAGGGAATGTGGTTTTAAAAATAGTTACATTTAATACGATAGAGTCCTTTTATTGTAAAAAAAATAGGAGTAACGACAAATGCAAAAACGCACATGGTCATGTAGCAGAACTGTCCGTAAGCAGAATGTTTCGAAGAGATTTGAATGAGGAGACATCGACTCTGGAAGGGGGTTTCATAGAATCATAGGACTGAATGGGACCTCGAGAGGTCATCTGGTCCAGTCCTCTGCACTCCTGGCAGGACTAAGTATTATCTAGACCATCCCTGACAATCTAACCTGTTGTTTAAAATCTCCAATGATGGAGATTCCACAACCTCCCTAGGCAATTTATTCCAGTGTTTAACCACCCTGACAGTTAGGAAGTGTTTCCTAGTGTCCAATCTAAACCACCCTTGCTGCAATTTAAGCCCATTGTTTCTTATCCTATCCTCAGAGGTTAATGAGAACAATTTTTCTCCCTACTTGTAACAACCTTTTATGTGCTTGAAAACTGTTATCATGTCCCTTCTCAGTCCTCTCTTCTCCAGATTAAACAAACCCAGTTTTTTCAATCTTCCTTCATAGGCCATGTTTTCTAGACCTTTATTCATTTTTGTTGCTCTTCTCTGGACTTTCTCCAATTTGTCCACATCTTTCTTGAAATGTGGCACCCAGAACTGGAGACAATACTCCAGTTGAGACCTAATCAGCATGGAGTAGAGTGGAAGAATTACTTCTCGTGTCTTGCTTACAACAACACTCCTGCTAATACCTCTCAGAATGATGTTTGCTCTTTTTTGCAACAGTGTTACACTGTTGACTTATATTTAGCTTGTGATCCACTATGACCCCAGATCCCTTTCCGCTGTACTCCTTCCTAGGCAGTCATTTCCCATTTTGTATGTGTGCAACTGATTGTTCCTTCCTAAGTGGAGTACTTTGCATTTGTTCTTATTGAATTTCATCCTATTTACTTCAGACCATTTCTCCAGATCATTTAGAATTGCTATTTGTTAGGCCAAGTGGCCTATTCCCACCCAGCAAGTCTTTACACAATGGACAGACATGCCAATAAATGTGCGACAAGCATTTCTCATCATTCTTCTTAGGCTTTCATTTCTCGCCCTACCCTTCCTAACCCCTCCATCTCTGCTGCTTGCAAGAAGAAACCTAGGAAAATGACTTCAAAAGAGCAAATACAGAACTAGAAAGAGACCAAACAAGTCAGGCACACAGTTTTAAAATATTAAAATTGTGTGTAAAGGCACATCAGAGCAGTTGGATTTCTGCTGACTGGAGAATAACTTGTGCATATGCATTATTGCTCCAGGAGACAGATGAAAAGAAGTGAATATGGAGGAGGGCCAGATGCCCAAATTATTGATAATGTAGTTACCAAAGTCACAGAATGCTGCTGCAGATGCCCCTGGCACTAGGTTCTGCAGATGAAAGGACTATGTCTGCACCATGGCAGCTCCATGGCTCCAAGGCCGTGTCTCTGAAGACAGGGATTGTGGGTTCAAGCAAACAAGTTGGGGGCTTGGGGTGACAGTGGAGAGTTTTGGACCCCTCTGTTAGGAGGATTATTGTCATTGCTGAGTTTATGGAATGCAGCTGCAGTATGGTCCAGGTAGCAGCGCTGGTCAAACCATCTGTACTCAACAAGGAGAACATGACCTTTCCGGGAGGTGCAAGTTTTGCCCTCATTACACATGCCCTTGTCACCTCGAGATACACTTACAGCAAAATGCTGTACATGAGGCCACATGTGTAATGATATGTTTACCTGCAGTATGCCATCTAACCACTAGAGGTCTGTAGCCTGTGTAGAGTTCCAGACAAGATGTGACCTCTGGTTAAGAAGGGCGACAAGAGCTGGAGCTTGAGCTGTGTGGAAGCCTATTTGTGCCTCTAGTTGTAGCATTTTCCTTTACTAAATGCTTGCTGTTTAAGAAGATCCATGATTCCACATAGCACGTTGAGACTACATGGAAACTGAAGGTAGCGAGGTGGGCGATGCAGCTTATCAAGTTGCACGTTTTACAGACGGCACATTACACCAGTGCTCTGCACTAAGTTTCTGTGCCGCGTTCAAAGTGTTGGTTTTAACCTATAAAACCTTAAGGGGATTGGGACATGGTTACTGGGGAGACTGTCGGGAGAGGCCCTTGAGCTGGAGGCCCCCTTGGTTTGATTCACCCCATTACAGAGACAGGAACTCCCCCAAACTCTTCTGGTGTCTCAGATCAGGGGGACTTGGTTAGGTCCCATCTCTGCCTTCTGTCTGTCTAAGTACTCATAATCCCCCATCACCGTAATACCTGAGCACCTTGCAACCACTCACAATCCTGCTGGGAGATAGGGGGTAATAGGGAAGGACTTTTACAGATCAAGAACTAAGGCACAGAGACTGGATGATTTGCCCAAGATCACACAGGAAGTCTGCAGCAGAACTGGGAACTGAAGCCAGGGCCCTGAGTCCTAGACCCCTGCTTCAATCACAAGACTCTGGGGCCTCTCAGTTATGCCCATGAAGCTATACAGCTGCATTTCACTGTTCGTAATAGATATGCCCAGCTTTAGCAAACAATAAAGGGCATCCAAAGGTGGGTGCCTTGGCTCCCTTTCTCTACAAACTGTGGCAATGAGTGGGTAATATTAATCAATGAGGGATGGAAAAGATGGGAAGATTATTTAGACCAGAGGTCGGCAACCTTTCAGAAGTGATGTGCCGAGTCTTCGTTTATTCACTCTCATTTAAGGTTTCGTGTGTCAATAATACATTTTAACGTTTTTAGAAGGTCTCTTTCTAGAAGTCTATAATATATAACTAAACTATGGTTGTATGTAAAGTAAATAAGGTTTTTAAAATGTTTAAGAAGCTTCATTTAAAATTAAAATGCAGAGCCTCCCGGACCGGTGGCCAGGACCCGGGCAGTGTGAGTGCCACTGAAAAAGAGCGCACGTGCCGCCTTTGGCACACGTGCCATAGGTTGCCTACCCCTGATTTAGACAGTCATAGCTTGGAAAAATAGAATGAAATTTGCTCCCGCTCCTTGAAGGCTTTGCTGTGGGCTACTATCACTCAGAAAACGGCTCTTTAAGCTTCACCAGGTGCGCTCCACTCTTGGGTGTTATTTATTTATTGAAATAGACATTTGTTTCAATCACGCTAAACTGAATAGGAAATAATAGCACCAGAGGTGCAAAGATCTCAGGACCTCAGCTGTCTGCCGGATCCACGACATTCAATAGCAGCACGTGTCTCAGCTGGGGCACCAGATGAATGACGCTGTCGAAGTGGCAGCAACTTGGGCTGATGCTGAAGAGCTGAGCGAAAGTGGAGGGAAAACAACCGCTATGACTTTTTGTATTCGGTTCACCGGAGGGTTTGAATCCAAATGCGGCTGCAAGGGAAACCGCCCAGAGGTTTCTTTTGAACAGCAGGTTTCTCTAAGCGGAGAATGACTTTAGCCTGAACTGCTGCTGTTTCAAAGGCTTTCCGACTACCAGTGACAAAGCTGACACTGAAAGAG